AGATGAACTAAATAAACAGAGAGATAAATCATGATTATGGGTTGGAAGATTTAATTTTATTTAGATGTCAGTTATGCTCATTTTGTTGTATAGATTCAATGCAATCTCCATAAAATCCAAGCAAGCATTTTTGGAGAAATTGATAAGCTGATTCTAAAATGAATATGGAAATGCAAAGGACATAGAAGAGCCAAAATAATTTTGAAAAAGAAGAATAAATTGGGAAAATGTATGCTACATGATTTTCAGGATATCCATATAGCAAGAAGTGACACTTGATCCTTACCTCACATCATATAAAAAATTAACTCAAAATGGATTATAAATCTAAATGTTAAAGACTGAAACTATAAAACTTCTAGAAGAAAATATAGGGTAACATTTTGAAATCTTGAGGTAGGCAAGATAGCATGAAATATAAAAGAAAAAAGATAATTAGCTTTTATAAAAATTTTAAAAATTTCTCTAAATAACATAGTTAAGAAAATTAAAGGGAAAGCCAAAAAACGGGGAAAAATATGTACACACATATATACATATAAAGTATGTAAAAAATATACATATATATATCTGACAAAAGACTTATATTCAAAATACATTAAGAACTCCTATAACTCATTAATAACAGTAAACAACTTACTTTTTTAAATGGGCAAAATATTTTAACAAACATTATAAAAAGAAGATATATGAATGGCTAATGGGCACATAAAAAGATGTTCAGCATCATTAGTTGTCTTAGTATTTAGTGCTGCTATAACAGAAATACCACAAGTGGACGGCTTTAACAAAGAGAAATGTATTCTCTCACAATCTAGGAGGCTAGAAGTCCAAATTCAGGGTGTCAACTCCAGGGGAAGTCTTTCTCTGTCTGTTGGCTCTGGAGGAAGGTCCTTGCCATCAATCATCTGCTGGACTAGGAGCTTCTCAGTGCAGGGACCCCGGGTCCAAAGGACTCACTCTTCTCCTGGCACTACTTTCTTGATGGTATGAGGTACCCACGTCTCTCTGTTTGATTCTCTCTTTTACATCTCAAAAGAAACTGGCTCAAGACACCATCCAATCTTGTAGACTGAGTCCTGCATCATTAACATAACTGCCACTAATCCCATCTCATCAACATCATAGAGATAGGATTTACAACACATTGGAAAATCACCAGATGACAAAATGGTGGACAATCACATAATACCGGGAATCATGGCCTAGCCAAATTGATACACTTATTTTTGGGGGACACAATTCAATCCATGACATTAGTCATCATGAAAGTGCAAAATAAGATTACAATGAGCTGCTACTACACACTCATTAGAAAAGCTAAAATTAAAAAGACAGATAATACCAAGTGATGATGAGGATGTGTAGCTACTGGAATGATAATACATTGCTTATTGGAATGTAACATGGTACAACCACATTGGAAAGCAGTTGCAGAGTTACTTATAAAATTAAACAAACACCGTATGATCCAGCACTTCCACTTGTAGGTATTTACCCAAAAGAAATGAAAGCATATCTTCATACATATGTACAAAAATGTTCTTGGAAACTTTATTTATAAATATTCAAAAACAGGAAACAATCCAAACACCCATCAACTGGTGAATGAAATGTATCCATACAATAGAATAATTTTATTAGTAAGAAGAATGAACTATTGATACATGCAACTACATAGATGAATTTCAAAAGCATCATGAGCAGAAACCAGACACAAAAGAGTGTCTACTGCATGATTCCACTTATATGAAACTCTAAAAATGACAAGTCTAATCTAGAGTAACAGAAATCAGATCAAGGTTCACCTGTAGACAGAGTTAGGAGAGGAGATTGACTGGGAATGGGCACCAGGGAACTGGGTTGATGAAGACATTCTATTTATTGATTGTAGTGGTGGTTCCATTGGTATATATATTTGTTAAAACGCATTAAATTGTACACTTAAAATAGGTGCATTTTATTGTTTGGGTATTATGCCTCAATAAAGTTGATTTAAAAAAACTACATCTAGAGAAAAAAGGAGGTAGAATAAAGACTTGTTCAGACAAACAAAAAATGAGAGAATTTGTCAGCTGCAGATCTGCACAATAAAAAAAGACTAAAGGGAGTTTTTTAGTCTGAAGGAAGATGACATCGGATGGAAACCTGAGTCTACAAAAAGGAATTAAGAGCACTGGAGAGAGTAAATATGTCAATATCAACTATTTAAAATAACAATCATAATAATGTCTTGCAGGGTATATAAAGTATACAAAATAAAAATATATGACTAATAGTACAAAGGGGTAGGAGGCATGTAAGAGAAATTAAACTGTTTCAGGACCCCTTGCATTATTTAGGAAATGATTAAAGTACTAACTCTGGTTTTCTGGAATAAATTCAAGGGTGCATTTTTTTAAATTTACGTGGTAACTAAAACAATAATAAGAGAATTAAAAAATAGTTCAGCAAAATAAACACTCCAAGTAGAAGACAAATATTGTCAAAGTAGATTTTTGAAAACCCACAGTTATATGCTGTTTATAAGAGAAATATTTTAACTATAAGGACACAAAATGTTAGAAATTGAAATAATGGAAAAAGATATACCATAAATATAATGACCAAAAGAAATAACTATAATAATAAAAGATAAAATACAATTTAAAGTAAGAAGTAGATAAAGGGACATTTCATAATAATAAAAGATCATTTCTATTTCTATTTAGTAATAGAAAGATAAAATAATCCTGAACTTGTACACATCTGATACATAGCTTCAAATTATGTAATGAAAATTTCACAGAACTAAAAGGAGAAGTAAAACAAATCCACAGTCACAGTTGGAGATTTTAACACACCTTGCTCAGTAATAGAATAAGCAGACACAACGTCTGAAAAGATATAGAAGATCTGAACAATACAATTTCCATACCTGACCCAATTGACACATATAGAACACAACACTTCAACACTGCACAATACTCTTTTTTTCCCCAAACACACATGAATTATTTACTGAAATAAACCTTATTCTGGGTGTTAAAGCAAGTTTCAACAGTTTTGAAAGCATTAAAATCACACAAAGTATGTTATCTCACCATAGTAGAAATAAACTAGAAACAAAAAGCAGATAGGTAACAGAAATCCGCATAAACTTGGAAATAAAGCAACATGATAAATAATCCACGGATTAACGAGGAAATCACAGAGGGAATTTGAAATATTTTGGAAAAAAATGATAATAAAAATATGACATAACAAAACTTGTGAGATACAACACTTAAAGCAGTGCTTGTTGTTAGGTGCCGTCGAGTCGGATGTGACTCATAGCGACCCTACTTACAACAGAACAAAACAGTGCCTGGTCCTGAGCCATCCTCACAATCACTGATATCTTTGAGCCCATTGTTCCAGCCACTGTGTCAATCTATCTTATGGAAGATCTTCCTCTTTTTCGCTGACCCTCTACTTTACCAAGCATGATGTCCTTCTCCAGGGACTGATCCCTCTGGATAACGTGTCCAAAGTATGTGAGATGAAGTAAGCAGTACTAAGCACTAAGCAGTACTTAGAGGGAGACTTATAGAATGATGAGACTGAAAGATGACAATCAATAATCTCAACTTTTATCTCAAGAAGTTAGAAAAAGATCCTTGAATTGAACCTAAGGAGACATGATGACTAAATGCAATTTGACATTCTGGGTTGGATTCTGGAACAGAAAGAGGACATTAGCGGAAAAACTGGAGAAATGTTAAAAAACGGCTCTGATTATAGAAATGTGTAATTTATATCTAATCTACTTTAAGGAAGTAAAAGTAAAACATTTTTTTTTTTAAAAAAGACTCTTCAATGATGTTTAAGATGTCTTTCTGATTTTTTTTTTCTCTTTATAACATAGCCCTCTCAAGTTGAGCACTGTGTTAAAGTCACGTATGATAATTTTTTGTGTGGTCATACCACAACTTGATAGACAGCCAGGATCAAATATTTCTATTTATTTTAAATTAGGAGGAATTTTTTTTCCTTCTTGATTTCTTTTAATTATGTAAAAATTTACATACATCTAAAGTCACAATGTACATTCCAATTAATCTTGTTCCCATCCCTGTCTCCTCCACCTACTTTCCTCCCTCCCTTTATAGCTAATCATCTCTATTAATTTAGGAGTTTAATCCTTTTTTTTTCCTGAAAATTTAAACATGTTATCTCTTTTCTTACAAAAACAGTGTTCTGCAGCTTGCTTTTTCTCAACAAGCTCTTAACAGTGTATCCTAGAGATGATGCCCTATCGGTCTATAAAGGGCTTCCTTCATCCCCTTTTTATAGCTGCATTATGCATTTTTATAGTTTATTCAACCAGCCCCCTATTAATGGATGAATAGCCTAGTGAATTATTACCAGTGTATCTTTGGAATAGATTCCTAGAAGTGAAAGTCCCGGGTCAAAGGGTAAATGTTTGTACTTTGGGTATATATTGCAAAAGTGTTGAATCAATTTGCATCCTCACAAGCAGGTTAGGAGAATACTGTATTCCCACTTGCATGTTGTCAAACTATTGAATTCTTGCCAATCTGATTAGATGAGAAATGGCATCTCAGTGTAGTTTTAATTTGTATTCTTTTTATACGGTAGACAGTAACTTTTCACAGTTTAAAGACCGTTGCATTTTTTCTAAACTATTTGTTCATATATTTTGCCTATTTTTACATAGGGATGTTAGTCTCTTTCTTCTAAATTATTATGAGCTCTTTATTCTTAGGAATATTTCCCGTTTCCCTGTGATATAAGTTTTTTATTTGTATTTTGACTTGGCTTCCAAAGGTTTTTTTTTGTTTTGCCATGCAAATCGGTTTTTGAAAAAATTTAATAAAGTTTTCTGGTATTAATAAATAGGAAAATTTTGCACAAAAACATAATATTTCCTTTAGGGTAAAGAGTAACATTATTTCATCGCACCAGTGGGAAAGTCATGGACCAAAGGATGGGAACAATTGTTGTAGTTATCTGCCCAATGGAGTTTTTTAAACCCTTCTATATTAATTAATTTATTCATTCACCAACTTTATTGAGTTCTTACTTTGTGCTAGGCACTTTAATTGGTGCCATGAGAGCATAATTAGCTGCATCTAAAAGTCAGAAGCTCCTATCCCAGCCTGGGTCTTAAGACATGCAATTTTGGTGATAGCTGCCTTGACATCTTTGTTCCGCAGGGTGTAGATGAGGGGGTTGAGGATAGGTGTGAGAACGGCATATGCTACATTGCCCATGATGTGGAAGTCAAGAGGCAGATCAGCCCTGTAGGCCACGTAGGCTATGGCAATGGATGAGTAGTAGGTGCCAACCACCAGGAGGTGGGAGCTGCATGTGGAGAAGGCTTTTGAGCGTCCTTCTCTGGAGTTGATGCGAAGCACCGAGGCCAGGATGTGGGCATAAGAGAGAAGCACCAGGAAAAGGGGCAGAGAGGATACCACCATGGCAATGCAGAAACCCATGAGGGTCTGTGGGGTGGTATCAGAGCAGGAGGCCTGGACCAGAGAGAGATGATCACAGAAGCAGTGATATATGTAGGCAATGTTGTCATATGCCATCTGAGAGGTCTTCACTACTGCTGGGATGGGCAGGAGGAGAGCGATGAGCCAGGCAGTGGCTGCCAGTGTAGTGTTGGTCTGTGGGGTCATGTGGACAGGGTAGTGCAGTGGGCAGCAGATAGCCACATAGCGGTCATAGGCCATGACCATCAGGATGAAGGCTTCTGAACATGTAAAGCTTTGGAAGAGGTACATCTGTAGTAAGCAGGAAGGAAAGCTGAGGAAGTGGTCCCCAAGCAGGAATAGGGACAGCATCTTTGGGACAGTGGTTGTGGTGAAGAGGATGTCCAGGGCAGACAGGTTGAGCAGAAAGAAGTACATGGGCTTGTGGAGGCTGGGCTCTGCCACCACGGCCACAAGGATCAGGGCGTTACCCATAAGGATAAGAAGGTAGAAGAAGAGGAAAATAAAAAACACTAGGAGGAAGAGGGACTCTGGAAGAGAGGGAATACCCACCAGGTAGAAGACTGGTGAGGCTTCCACTGATCCATTACAGGTTGTGGCCTCCATGGTGAGACAGAACTGGATTTCTGGAAGATAGGTAGCTGGGTCACGTGGGCACTAGGAGCATCTGGAAACCGTGGAAACCAAGGATTTGGGAATGAGATTTTGATAACATTTACTGTATAGTTAATATAACCATAATTATGTACAACCAAATCTAGAGAACTGATGATGAGTTGTGGTATTCACGTCTACCATGTGAACCCAAAATTTCTACTTTTCTTATTTTGACAAATGTTAGTTGGCCACCTACCAAATGAAAGACATTATTCTGCATTCAGGGGATACAGTGATGAGAGTGAAGAAGGCAGGCAAAATTTCTATCTTCTTAGAGTTTACATTCTACTGGGAAAATCAGATTCAAACAGTTGATTATTGAATTATGATTGTGAAAAGTGCTATGGAAAGACTTCTGCTGATCTTCATCTTAGGTCCCACACTGTCTGGTTTGGAATGACAGATCTTTTAAATCGAGTCCTCAAGCACTTGCCTCTACCTTTGCGCTCACTCAAAGTTCTACCACGTTGCTTTGGAAGGGCTGCTTTCTTCAAGTTTCTCTGTAATATGCTACTGTTCACATACTTCTTAATCTTTTTTCTCTCTTGTATGCCTGGAGCCACTGTGGTTCTTCTTGACTCTATTTAAACTAGGAGTCTGGATTTTTCCTTCTGAATAGGATGTAATAGGTCATGGTAGTCAAACACTTTCACTGAAACAACTAGAACAACCTGGAAAAATTACATAAATCACATTTTAAAAGAAACTAGGGAAACATGGGAGCAACAGGGTGAGACTAATTGGAACGCCAGAGTAGGGGAGCCCTTCAAAGTGAGCTGACAATTACTAGCTCTTTTCTTTTCTGAGAATGTTTGCTGATTTGGGGATCATCAAGTGGCTTGGACTTGGCCCAAGGCAGAAGGACATGGCTGAGAGGAAGACAAAACGTCAAAGCTTTTGGTAGTCAAAAAGGTTTGCAAAACAGATTGGAAACTTGAGGAGTCCTAAATGCATAGTAAGTTTCTCCCATGTGACATCTTCTGAATTCTGGGATTCTGCCCAGGAAGTTGGGGAGCTAGGCTGAGGGCTTCTAAAAGGCAGAATAAAATCTCCTATGATCCTATGATGCTTGAGAGACTAGAAAGAGAGAGGGCCTGCCTCAAACACACCCTGGTCTTTCGATCAAAAATTTCTCCAAATTTTCGAAGCTGTGTGTGGTTGGGGGCAAGGGAGGGGCACTAAAGACCTAAGCTCAAAACCCCTAAAGGAGAGAAGCAAATCTCCCACAATCTTTCAGGGCTGAGGAGACAGAGATCAGTAAGGTTATCAGTCCAAAGCTCAAGAAGGCTATACCTTAAGAACAAGGACAAATTTAGACTAAATCTTACTAAAACTGAAACTCAGCCCTTACCTAACTCAAGCCTTGATTGGGTTAAGGTGATCAGCCCCACACCTTCTCTGTCTAACAGAGGAAAGAGAGAAGCCTACCTAGTGAAATATATTACCTAGGGCCCCTATGAATCTATTGTAAATAATGTTCAGCTCACAACAAAAATTACTAGACATGCAAAAAGACATCATTATTGACAGAATGGATAAGAAAACAGGATCCATCAATATGCTGTCTACAAGAGACACACTTAGAAACAAAGATGTGAATTTATTAAAAGTCAAAGGTTGGAAAAAAATATATCAAGCTAACAACTACCAAAAAAGAGCA